CTGTAGTATTGTCATTGCAGTGTAATAAGCGTTGTAAGGCTAATTTGTGTTTAAACTGTAGCCTTGTCATTGCAGTGTAATAAGCGTTGTAAGGCTAATTTGTATTTAAACTGTAGCCTTGTCATTGCAGTGTAATTAGCGTTGTAAGGCTAATTTGTGTTTAAACTGTAGCCTTGTCATTGCAGTGTAATTAGCGTTCTTTACCGTCTTTTGTCAGATTCTGTTAATAATATTCATTCCATACAAAGCATTTGCTAATTAGTGAATGTCTGATTGTTTAACCAATCGGTACTTCATTTAAACAAGAGAAAACTCAAAACAAAACCAGATAAAAAATAAATGATCCAGAATAACGGATGAAAATCATATAATGAATTGAATACACATGAACTTAACAAGAAAACAAACTAAAATGTAAAAATTATGCAATAAATAAATATATATAGACACACAAAAACCGTTAGAGAAAAGATGGCCGTTTAAATAAAATACTCAAACGATCAGCTACTCTAAGTACACAATTGAAAAACTTTATAGTCTAAAACCGCCAACGGTCTCAAAACAGACACAGCTACATGTTTAAACGTTAAAGATTCTTTTTTGTTATGTATGTTATGTTTTTAAGACACTGTAATATTTTTCACATACTCCAAGTGTAGGATTTCATTAAATTGGTAACGTGTTCAGTTAATCGGCTTAAGTAAACCCTAGTGTGAAGTTATTTTGTCTCCAGAGATTAAGTAAAAACTAATTAAGTTTCCGTTTAATAGGAATTTATTTTATATTAAAGCATTTGTGTAATAGACTGTAGTAACCGAAAGTGTGAGACATTCTAAAGTTGAAAGGTATTTTTGCAAACGCAGCAAGGATGAAATATAGTTAATAACTCAGTATATATATATATATATATTTATTTAAGTTGCTGTCCTCCTTCACTTTGTGTGATAACACTTTATTTCTCTTGTAATTTCATAAAATGCCACTAGATGGAAGTAATAGCTTTATGAACTATGTTTTTAGTGATTTAGACGTTTTCTACTTGTTGATAGAGGGAGCTTTTGCATGACTTTGTGATGATGTCTTGAACTTTCTAGACTTGGGTGGATGAAACCCCTAGAAAGTTGTTGGCAGTTAAATAGTGAACTAATCAGATATTGAGTGAGTTAGTGAGTCAGCTGACTAGACTGAGTTATCAAGAGTCTAAATCAGCCAGTTTGAGGAGAGAGTTAGTGAGTCAGCTGACTAGAATGAATTATCAAGAGCCTAAATCAGCTAGTTTGAGTTGGTACTGTAGATACGCGAAGAAATGTAACAAGCAAATGACTCGTTTTATTTTAGTGTTAGGCCTAACCAGCGAACTTAACTTGTAGAACTTGTACTTGAAATAATAAAACGTTTTCGTTAAGTGGACTGGACTTTGCATTATTTTTATCGAATAAGAAAAAGAACCCGCCCCAGGATAGGGACTGTTGCAACAACACTTGAAATCTACACTGGGTTTTCTTCAGATCCCAGTGTTTTATACAAGTAATGTCCGACAGCCCAAGTCCCCAGGATTTCTGAGAGTCTCCTTGATCTGCATAACACCCTCCCTTCTCCCGAAAATGATTGAAAGCCTCCTTTTAAGGCCTTAATATGCTTTCAAACACAATATCAAATAGACCGGTTTCAGGTGACGTATGGATACACAGTTAGGTAGATGCGAAAACAAGGTTGGTTGGCTGATGGAAACAAGGTAGTTTAAGTTGGTTGGTCAGTCACCCTTCCAGCAAAAATATACTTATCACTATAGCAACGGCTTCGAAGGAGTAGTATTGTTTAATCTCAGGGAGTGTCTCCCTGAAATCAGTCTAATGAATTTTGGTTGTCTGTAGTGTTAACTTACTCGGTTTTGCGTGGTTCTTCTTTAGAGTAATAGTGAGATAAGTTTGAACTCCTGTAGGCCTAAATTATTAATTTACAGACTCTTTGAATAATAACAAGATTATCTGGAGTAGCTCACGAGTGAATAATTGTATTATTTTGACTTATTAGTTCATTTCAGTTGCTATTTAACTTTTACGATTCAAACGAAGTTAGAATGTGAGGTGGCTGTTAATGAGACTAGAAATATGTGTTTATTTTATCGATGTTTCAATGATTTTAGTTGTAATAGGAAAATGAAACAGGTTTAAGTGTAGAATTAATTTAACATTGTCTCATTATAACTTGAATTCTTCCTCGAGATTGAACAAACGAATAGATGATTTCCTAAGTACTGTCTTTTTCTTTGTAATACTTGTTAGTTAAGTTCAAGTCAGACTGAAAATATCACAAAAAAATATACAATGAACCAAGAATTGGTGGCTTTATTTCATAATTGTATTTTATGTACAGTTTTACTTTTAATGGAATAGACTAAATCATATATTTTGTTTTGACAATCAAATCTAAGAAGGATTGTAATTTTTTAGTCAGTTACATTAATAATCACTAAATAATTATTACTTTCCACCCCAAGCATTGAAACTCCTCTTTCCGCCCCATGCATTGAAATTCCTCTTTCCGCCCCATGCATTGAAATTCCTCTTTCCACCCCAAGCGTTAAATCCCCTCTTCCCACCCCAAGCGTTAAATCCCCTCTTCCCACCCCATGCGTTAAATCCCCTTTTTCCACCCCAAGCGTTAAATCCTCTTTTTCCACCCCACGCGTTAAACCCCCTTTTTCCACCCCAAGCGTTAAATCCTCTTTTTCCACCCCAAGCGTTAAATCCTCTTTTTCCACCCCAGGGATCAAATTGGCGTTTCAAGCTAGGGATTAAATCTTGGGAGAATGCTGAGTTTCGTTTTCCTCCCCATGGTTTAAATTGTCTTTTCTCGAGGTTTTCAGAATCAATCTCATCTTTTGCTTCTATGTAATCGCTTCTTTTACCACCCCAGGCTCCAAACTGTCTTTTGGTCATAGTGATATCTTGAGGTTTTTGGTCCCATTCCGGATCGCTGTCATGACTTTCGAGAACCAGCATGTACCTGTTTTTACTCCATGGACTGAAATGATAATATCCAAAGTCCTGTGGAGGAACGTGTACCGCTGTAACCTCTGTCAGGTCGTCATTCTGAGTGTGTGTAGTCGAAAAAGGGTTCAAAGAAACCGTTCTTGTCAGCCGGACAGGGTTGTCGAATGTAGCCACTCCCAAGCTACACATGGTTAATAAGAACAAGAAAGGCTGGCACCACATTATCTGTGGGGAAAAAAAAGTACAAATGAAGCAAAATATATTTCGTTAACCAACACATGTAACATCTTGTACCGTAAAACTGCATGCTTTGACTTTTGTCAACGAGGCATTGATGATTTTGTACCTTAAAAACATTTCTCCAGGAAAACATTTAGGTCATTTAGACCACGAATATATCTGAAAAATGATATCAGCTTTAGTATTAACGATGTTTACTTGTGTTTCAAATTATCAAAATTGGTGACCCATTAACTGACGTTCTTGGATGATGTAATAGGCATGCACCTAATCAGATTAACTGACGTTCTTGGATGATGTAATAGGCATGCACCTAATCAGAAAAATCTTACATTTTATTTAACATTTCTAACGATTCCTTGTAGCTCTTTTTAAAATTAAGGTCATGTGAGAATTGAATAGATGTTATTAGATGCTATCAGTGTGAAAAAATATATATATAAATATTGTTGTTAAATTGGATTGAAATGAAAATATAGAACAAATGTAAAAGTTAGTACATGCTCTAGAGTTTTTCATGGAAAACAACAATGTCAATTGGGACAAGAAATAGTACACGATCTCAGTTTAGTTTGAACCTCTACTTGAGGACAATGGTTTACAGAGATTTAGTTTGAACCCCTGCACGAAGATAACGACATACTGATATTTGGTTTGAACCCCCTAAATAGATAACTATATATATTGAGATTTGGTTTGGATCTCCTGCATGAAGAAAATGACTTACTGAAATTTGTTTTAAATCCCCTAAATAAAGAAAATAGTTTAATAAGCTTTGGTTTGAATCCTCTAAATAAAGAAAACAATTTACTGGGGTTTGGGTTGATCCTGATGCATAGAGAAAACGGCTGATTGAAACCCCTAAATATAGAAAACGGCTTAATGAGTTTTGGTTAAAAGCCTCCAACTAAATAAAACATCTTAGTAAGTTTTGGATCGAAATCCGTAAATGAAGAAAACAGTTTATTGAATTTAGATTTGAAACCACTAAATGGATCATTGGTTCAAAAGTGACAACATACATTATCAGAAGTTCGTCTTCCTACCAGTTTACCATCAGCTGGTGTATCGAAACGATCTCCGTAATATGAATACTTTTTTTTACTAATCCTTTGCAACTGCTGGATAAAAATATCTGTTAGAATAATAACTGTATGGATATCGTGATGACTGTAAGGGGGCTGAAATGTGAAATGTTTAGGTATTTTCTATGCAACAAATAAAAAGGGAAGATCCTAGTGCTGAGTGGAAGGATTTAGCCTAACTAGAAACAAGGAGAATACCTCAAGAACTTGGGCAACATTTAATGAAAATCTGAATGTTAAGAAGTTTACTCACTGTTGTAATATGAAAACTTACGATTATTGTAGGATTTCTAAGACATAGCTAACCCTAACTTATATAATACTTACTCTGCTTTCTTGAATGGCGTTACACAAACCACGAGTCTTGCTACACTTCTCCCACTGCTTTGGGTCCAGAATATGATGATGGTGTTCCTGTCAAGTCCCTTCAGCTTCTGGGTTACTGTAATGTTTACCCTCTTTATATACACCAGCTAAGATTCTCTTCTGTTTAAAGCATTATTTTCAAACTAATGGCCCAGAGCGTACAAGCTTGTCTCTAGGGGATGCTAATGGATTCCCGGTCACCGGATCATCTTTGAAGTGGAAAATCGGTTTAGCCATCACATTATATACCTAAACAGCAGGCTAAGTAGCTGTGAGACAATGTTTCGGCTTTTACAAAACCAGACCTTTTTAAGTCCATTCAAAAATAAAACCTTCTGAACACATTATTGGCGAACACAAAAGGTCAAGCCAGGCTTTCACTTAAGCCTATTTTCAGCTATTACCCTTTCGACCTAATCTGTTGTTTTCTTGGATAATATGACAGTGAAACGTCATAAGAAAGAATAAATATGAAGTTCAGCCTTCACAGACAAGTTTCAGTTTGAAAGAGAAAGTTTGAATTTTCATGTCGTCTATCCAGAACCTGGTGATTCAGTATCTTGATATCGTAGAGAAAATTCCAGTCTCCACTCAGGTAGCTATACTCTTAATTATGGATAACAGTCTACTATAATTCCATATAGAAGCTAATTATTTCTTTCTTTAGAATATATTGTACACAATTAAGTCACAATTTCACGTTTACTCTGTTTCTGTAACATGTTATTCATACATAATTGCTTGAGGTTAACATCTAGAAAAGGCTTAGGGAGAACGCTCGAGTATAAATTAAAGTTCAGGTGCACGAGAAAATTTTGAAATTATACCCAAGTCCGAAAAAATAGGGACTTAGAGATATTTTGACGAACATTCGAGTCTAAATTAAGAATTAAGATTATCGCCTATAGAAAGCCTGATGAGAACATTCGAGTCTAAATTAATGTTAAAGTCTCGAATTCTTTAAGAGAACGCTCGAGTCTGAAATAAGATTAACAGAAAAACTTGGAGTAAACACTTGAGTCCAAAGTAAGATTACATTACATTCATATTTTACAATGTAACAAACCTGTAAGTTATCGAGTCATTATTGAGATTCCAAAAGTGTTAGTTTAGGAAAAAAACAAAAAACTCTTCATAAGCTAATAACTGCGAACCGTGATAAGTCATTTTCTAGAATATTAGGAATATCATCCTACATAGTATAATGAATATCAAACGTGACGACGCCCCCCCCCCTTTTTTAGGATC